TTAAGAAAAGAGTAAAGAAAGAGATTAAGTGAAGAAACAGGAGTAAAGAAAGAGGAGAAGGGAATAAGAGAAAACTAGATTAAATAGCTACCACTGAAGAGCCTATGGCAATCTGGCTCCACAAGGTAATGGAAGGTCCCGAGAGAAAAGGCAAGATGGAGCTTATGTGCTGCTGTATTTGTGTGCTTTGGCCACCACATTTTCTCCCAGGTGAGATGGTTGGCTCACTGACTACACAGTGCCTCCAAGCCAGAGCGAGGGGTGGTGTAGGCAATCAGAGGCTGGATTAGGAGTTCCAGAGGGCGTGGTGTCGACATGCTCCCAGGCTGCCCTTGTGACTGGCAACTGCTCCATATGTGTTGGGGGGCTGCCTTTCCCCAAACACACACGAATTGGTTCTAACCCAATAATACTTTTACTGATCCAGTGTCTGACATACATTGGTGCTGTTTCCCAGCTACCAACTTGTTAAACCACTGTTTGATCTGCCAGGTTCAACTGAGGCTGCAGCTGGTCCCTGACAAGCAGGAGGAGCTGATGCTCCTCACACTTTCACCAGCCTCTGGAGAAGGAAGAGCAATGAGCAAGGGAGGGCAGATATTTTTGGTTTTGTGTTTCAGAATTTGGCAGAGTTTGAAAAGTTAGAGAATAATGTGAAAGAGATGGGTAAGCAGGAGTACTCATAACTTAACCCTCTGGAAGCTGGGAATATCACGAAATAAGCTCATTTCTTTTCCTTTGGGAAGGGATAAGCTCTACCAGAGCCCAGTCCAGTACTCCTCTGCCTGCTTTTCAGGCTGATATTTGCCTTTGAGCAGAGATCTTCCTTTGGGTATACCAGATCCCATTTGTGACATTTTGGGATTCAGAATGTACCTTCTTTTGTTTTCCTCCCACGTTAACCTGAGTTGTCCCATACTGTTCTTTCACTTGCTCAAAGGATGCTCTGCCTACTGCAAAAGAACAAGTCAAATTTAATGTAATTTGGATTGTAAATTCTCAAGAGGAGACAATGCCCTGTGGGTGTTGTGGTAGTTTTAAGCTAGGCCCTCCTTGGTGACCAGTTTGTAACCAAGGAAGTGGCCATGTTCCCAGTATTCCATACAATTTTTACGTAAATCGAGGTATAAATAAGAAGGGAGGAGAGGCTTTCACTCTCTTCCTTTCCGAGATTTGGAGACAGCAGATCACTGCAGCTGGTCCCGCTTCTGTGAGGGAGCTGGGGCCTAGCTCGGCCTACTGGGCCTGCTGTTTTCTGCTGCTTCTGTGGTGGGGTTGGAGACTTGGCAGAGAGCCAGCTCCAAAACCATCACAGGTGTTTACTGCAGGAGTCAGTTCTCTGGTCCTTGCTTACAATTGACCGTACTTACTTTACTTTGCATTAAGACTAAATTGCTTTTTGTCAATTTGTTTTTATAGCAAGCCAGTTGTGTATATTAACTGTTCTACAGTAGAAACTATTTTCCAGTGAACGTGATGGAATGATATTTCTGCAATGACTTCCATTATTCACTTTACTTTCCAAATGGCTCTGTAGCAATATAAGATTATTTCTTGTTGAGGTTCCTCTCTCTAATGATGACAGGAGTTTCCCATGTCACAGATTAACTAACTGATAAAAAGACATTATATAAAGAATTTTTAAGGTTGTCATCTTATGTTTTAAAAAGAAGCGTTTCCTTTAACTCAACTTACTCCTGGAAGAGTATATAAAATACTTTAACTAACAGATTTTTGTCTAACTCTGAATATTAAACTTAAATAATTAGGAATTTGTGGTAACTGAAGACAAGTTCATTGCAGGTCAATACAATGCACAAACATGCTTTTATGTAAAATACTTAAAAAAACCCCCAAACCACAGACAAAACTCCTGTTAATCACCGTCAACAAAATTAATGTTTTCACACGGTTTGTAGTAAGGACAGCTCTTGGTCTGAGCTAGGCTCTGGCAGCCCTCTTGTTCAAATCTCCTCAGGCTCAGAAGTCTGGGAGGTCTGCAGAAGAGTTCAAACATGTTGCCAAATCCTGGCTTGGTTTGATGGGCTAATACCAGATTGTGTTCCATCAGTTTCATACTTCCCTATTTTGAACCTCTTGGGTATCAGCAGGGTTGAAAGATGATCCAGGTCTGGATTTGAGGCAGAATGACTAGGAGACTTGTGTCAGCCCTGAGGAAGAAATCCAGGTGGAAAGTGAGACTGGGAAGAGATGTCCCTCCTTAGAGAGATGGGAGGATGGGGCTCACCACCAGAGGCTTGGTTCATTTGAATCTTCCAGCAGCGGGATTGGTTGCCAAATAGAGTGATTGCTTTTACTGCTGTCTGAGTTGCACAGAGACGTGGTCCTGAGACATCTCTAGGGCCTCATTGTGTGGTGATTTTGGGCACAAAGATGTTTCATACTAGAACTCCAGAGTTCTAAAAGGGAAAGTAAATTTCTAATCCAAGGAGTATGTTTTGAAAATGCAAAAGCACTTTGGAGGAGCCATTATTTTCTGAATAGTTCCTATATTGCAAACACAATGCCCATCTAGGGATTTTTCTTTATTGATTCCAGAAAATAAATAGATACATCACTTGAATCAAGGAACTTCACAGAAAACACTGCTTATTTCCTCCTTTCACAAAGAGGAAAGTGTCCAACAGTAATGTATCAGCTAATCATAGTAATCTGTAATGTGTAGCTTTCTTGATAACCCAGCAGCAAAAAAAAGTAAATTTTTTAATAATTGAAAATTAACATCTTACAACCTGCCTGGAAATCAAAGAGAAAAAGGTCACAAGTGTAGGTCTAGGTGCTAATGCGAGGACTGATCAGTTTTTACCAAGGAAGTAAGATAATTAGGATAACTGGCCATTGAAATCTTTTGAGATTTAGCCTGCTATACACTGATATACTGCTGTAAAATATGGAAGTAAAAATTAGAGTAATGAAATTTTCTGAGAAATTTCTGAAACTACATGGCAGGTAGCGATGCCAACATCTGAAAGTGCACTATTTAAATTAATGTATCAAACAAAATCTTAGCACTTTAGCATATGTACTTAGATACAGGGATTTTATCCGGGGGTGAAATGCAGTTTGGATAGCAACTGAGATGGTATACTTCAAAGACATTTGAAAAAAACCCACTGCTTATTTCTTATGATTTGGGGCATTTCCCCTGCTTATACAAAGTGTTGTCTATCAAACTCATAACCATATGAATCTCTTTGACTACTGTTCAATCTACCTGTTCATAACTCAGCCTCTTATTCCATCATAATGTTTGAATGATTCACATGCAATGTTTCCAATCCACTTTTCCTATCTTGTGAAACTTTTTAACGAAATGTTAGCATTTGCAGGCACCAGATGTTTTGACATAAGGAGAAGCAATATGTAAATTTTAATCCATGCTAGGAACAATAGCCTGAAGGCACCTTTTTCTTATTATATGAATCATATACTTAACCACAATGTGGTGGATTATATCAGAATCATCACCACCCTGAACATAAAACACTTGTCTTGTGCTTGCCAATTAATGAAACTGATATATATTTAACTTGATGGGTACCAGTGATTTAAGCAATAAGCCTTGGCATACTTCACTACTGTAGTCTCCTTTATAATTAGAGTTTTGATCCAATTATTATCACAATTTCATACATTTTCCTCTAATCTCCCATTGGTTGTCAGCATAAATGATGCTGGCATTAAATCTGTTTGTCTGTCAATTGCAAAAAAACACTACTTTTAATCAAGCAGTGAATCAAAAAAGGCTTTTCTAATGTCTGAAATAACTTTTGATTTTATTTCCTGATGCTGTTTATTTAATCATTAAGTGTCTGAGTCTGCAACAGGCTGAGCATTGCCTTTCTACAAAGCAAACTGAGGGCTCTCAGTCCATCACAAAGGAACTGAGCATCTTTTATGGTCAAATCCTAAGTTCATAATAAATATGCAAAAAAGCAAAGCTTCTTTCCATAGCTAATCACTGAACTTTAAATAATACTTATAATAATTTTCAATTTTATTACGGATTTGTCAAAATAAAGAGCCTGGAAAAATCTTTATTACAAATAGAATGTTTATCTGATGTGTACAAATAATGAGCACTATTTTATAAGAAACTATGAACTATTACAAAACTATAGATGAAATGCATATTACTACTCAACAAACTTTACAACATTTCATGCACAGAAAGCACCAAATGTCTTCTAAAGAAAGCAGCACTCTTGATATCAGGAATTCAAAATGAAATCCGAATCCTTACTGACTTCAGTAAGTAAAAGTATCTTTTAGTGCCAAATGCAACCTAATTATCAGCTTTAAAAAAGGTTTTATATCTTAAAATACAATATTCTGTTTATTCTAGATTGTCTGGGGAACATCTAGTACATTAAAAGGGTTTTGTAGAGCTTCTTAGTGATTTAACTGATATCATCATGCCTGCTAGCAATTTTGTAACATTCTGAAAACACTTTCCATAAATCAAAGCCTTAGCAGCAGGAATAAGCAGATGGCAGGAGACCATATTAAAGAATGTATCAATTATTTTTATTAATGGGATGCTACTGGATCATGATCTATCATAATGGTCTAAATGTTTAACAGTTGTGAAGTGTTTTGTCTGTTAGGTATCTCAGATGTTCTTAGTGGATGTTACTACAATGTCTTGTGACAGCAATTCTTGAAGGTCTAGACAGTGAAGTTTCATAAGGGGCATGTAAAGAGATGTTTTATTTTCATTCCTTTAATTATATTCATATAATAAACATAAAATACCAGCATATATAAAACATAACTGTAAAAAGATTGCATGTACAGTATGTAATAAAGTACATTCTGTCTGCATACAATGACTTAGAAAACAAGATATTATATGGTTAAAAATGAAAATTGGCAATTATTATAAAAATATTCTACAGTCTCATAATAGTAATGTAAATGCTTTTACTTATCTAAGAGACTTAAGATAATTTTAAATTACAATAATTTTACATCCTCAATTCATATATACAGTCCTATTAAATTCAAAAAGTATTGTAATAGCAATGGTCATATTAAGTGAAGGAACTATATTTAGTTATTTTACTGTATAAAGCAACTGTATTCCTGTTTGTTAAAACTGTTTGCACTTAGTGTAGCTTTTCACAGAACCCACACTCTGCACAATGAAATAATTTAGTTCTCTGTTCTTAGTATAGATCTATATCCATGTTATGAATTAAACAAGATGTTAGTATTTTGACTCCCTTTCCTTTTGTGTAATTATCAGTCTGCTGGTTTGTGTATTTTGTAGGAATATGTCCACCAGCTTTGAATAGTTGCTACTGAAAACAAGCAAGAACTTCTCATTTAATACATCTTGACAAAAATAGCCAGTTTCCCTACCCCCCGCCCAGCTGGAGGTCAAGCTCTGTAAGACTTTAAATTCTTTTCTAGGCCCAGAACCACAGACAGGTTATGCACCTCTTTCACGAGATTTCACTAAACAGATCTCTGTAGGAAATAGCCAAAAAGTGTATTTCGCTTGCACCGTGTTTCAGCCCAATAATACTTGCATAGGCAGCAAAAAATTCTGCCTGATGTCAGGATTTGTCCCAGTAGTCATGAAATCCCTTTCCTCTGTGCAAGCTGTTAGGAATGTACTCAGCTCTGCCATAGCAGTCCTCTCAGCTTCACAGCAGCATCACTGAACCTGGGATGGGAGAGGGAGGGCTTACTCTAGAAATCTGGGATGTGGCTGCCAGCACACACATCTCCTAAATACCTTCAGTGGCACCTATTAATCCCCAGAATGTCCTAGATTAGTTTTGCACCTTGTACCACCACTTAATTTCAAGGGTGAAGCTGTAATCCAGTCTATAGCCATTAGTTAACGTACTAATTATGATGACTTTCTGCTAGAAAAAATGCAATGTTGGTGAAACACCATTGCCATAATAAACACCCGCGGGCATTGATGCATTTAGTGTTTTAAGCAAGGGGGCTGAGGATTTTGAGTGAATGAAAACAGCTTGAATATGTTTAACGATACATGAAATACAGCATATTGCAAAAAGAACATTCACTAGCTTCTGTCAAGTTTCTCATGCAAAAAGGGAGAGAAAAATTCTTGTGCTTTAAACTGAAGCAATTGTCAGAAGAATGAAAATCAACTTTAAAAAATTTAATGGATGCACTATAATGTTTTTTTAGAACAGCACTTATAAAAGTGATGAAATTCAGGATGTTATTTAAAGTCAGTATAGTTCAGAAGTATGGTCTAACTCACATGTAAAAGTTCAATGGGAAAATCATGTCATACATTCATATTTAATTTCTTTTTCTCCATTATGAGCAATCCACATTGGTGTATTTAAAACTAATGTAGTAGAAACTGCAGTACAAGGACAAATGGCATTTGATATCAACCAAATATCCCTTCCTGAATATGGACAATACTCAGCTGAAATGGAATTACTCATACTATACTAGACCTAATATGCTCCTAAATGTTACTTTTAATTCATCATATTTTGTATTCAGATGTCAATATTAGCTAGTCTTTGGGAAAACTGTGACAAAGTACTTCCTCTTTTAATTAATCCAATTTAAAAGCACTTCAATTAAAATGGTGTTCAGTCCTACATCCAATTATCTTTGGGTAATGCTCATCCACCTTTTGCAGCTCTTTCCTACATACTGCAAAACCAAAAAAGAAACAAACGCAAAACCCCTACCCAAAAAAAAGAAAAAAAATTACCAGAATTCTGTTTCATGTTGTTATAATTTATAACCATGAAGTGGGAGCATATTGTAGCCTCTTCTAATGGTCAAATCTGTTCTTACAGACCACCTTATATCCAAGTAGTTTGCACAGGCTCATAGAAAACCTTGAGTTTCCTAAAAATATAAATATTCTTCTGAAATAGGACACTCCATCATCTTTCATAGCAATCTGGATGTAATTTATTATCCAGCTGCTAAATTTATGATTATGAAACTATCGTGACACTGACTGGGTTGGTCAGGAATGTGCTGTGATGTGGGAGGAAAACGAACCTCACAAGGACTGTGAGGAGGACCCAGGTACCCATAACAGAATAGTAAGAAACAATTGCTCTGGTTTTCGTTAATAAGTTTAAAGACATTTTAAGTGTTAATACAAACAGCAATCCACTTTAATCTTTTCTTACTATTTCCAAACCTGTGATGTTTCTGGGCTGTGAGGCAGGCTTGGTGACAGCAAAATTAATACACACTTTTGAAACATATTTTGAATCATTAGAGAACTCCCTGATGTGATCTTTTGGCTTTGGTTGAGGAAGAGCTGTGACGACCCTGTGCCACTTTATTTTCCCATTTATTAATATTACAATTAGAATGATTACACTTAGTGTCCTCCAGGAACATACATCACTCTCCAGAATTTCACTAAGTATAGAAGTGATATGCCTTCTACCTGCCCTCTAACTGACAAGTCTTTACTGAGTCATCAGAACAGGTTTTCTGAATGTCCCCTCCTAGCAAGCTAGTTAAGAGAGGCAGTGCATCACATCAGTGTTTCTCAATATCCCCTTTAGTTTGAAAAGTCTACCTTTTCAGCTTTTCTGTGGTGAATCTAAAGCCAAATTCAAAATTAAATTCTCTTTGTTTCAAGCGTATGGAATGGGAATCTTCTCATTTCCCTCTGGGTCCAAATGGATCAAAGGCATATGGATACAGTCCCTTTGGAAAAACCTCACTGTGCTGCCAAAGGAACTGAAAGCATCATTCAAAAGCACAGGATTGTATCTCTGAATTCCAGTCTCTTCTACATAAAAAAGAATACAGTTTGAATATTCTTGAAATAAGCAGCTGACATAGCAGTATTACCAGTAGTTTTAAATTGTGCTAATTGTAACATGGAATGTCTGTGATGTCTTGTACATCCATACGGCTTTTCTGATGCAATGCCATATCTTTTTGTGTCTCAGTTCATTTGAGTCTCTGTCATTATGTTAGCTTCCATTTTTCTACAAATGAAATAAAAAAAACCCCAAAACTAATGGCATTCCATGGAAAGCTTAATGGATTTTTTCCTTTTAAAGAGAAGCCTACACAGTTTAAACTACATGCTTACTTTACCTGTGTGAAAGCATTACCATCTGTATTTTTAAATTTTTAAATTTTAAAATCTGTAACATCTCTGCAATTCCCAGCTCAAATAGTTCTCTGTTGCTTCACATTTCATAGAATTTTTAGTTATATAAAATAAAGAAATTAGAAAATTACTAAAACTCATGTTTTTAGCAAAGTATAAGCAGATAGAAAAGAGTTTGAGTACAGTTTTGTAATATGGGTATTCCTTTTGTAGTAACCAGTTTCATAGTACTGTAAGAAGTCATAGAATGATAGTAGAAATATTCCCAGTGAAGAAAGATTTGTGCAAATGTCAGCTATGAACAGAGGGTAAATTTGGGGCAAAGTGATATGAGTTCATGTCCATCTCATTTTCCTGTGAAGCAAGGGCTGATTTAAACCTTTGTCACGTAGTAACATCTTCACAGTGTCCCTCCTTATAAGTATTTAAAGTAAGAACAAACAACATGCTTACATTCAAATCAGTCTTTAGCAAGTGGTTTAGAAAAGTATGAGACCCCCTCTGCTTTTATAAATCATCTCCATCATCTGTGCTAAAGCTGCTTCTCCTGCTGCTCTCTTTGGATGCAGCTGGGGATGTGGAGGACAAGAGTGGATCTGTTCCAAATGGCGACACTGTGTCATCCAATAAAATTTCCTCTAGACTTTGTTCTTCTTTTAAAGCTGCACTGAAGGACAAATCTGTGAAGTGTGAAAGGGGATCAGAAAACGCTGTAGATCCATCACAAACATCAGAATTTTGTCCATGTACCAGAGGTATTTGTTGAGAGTAGTCTACAGAGTTTTCCTCTGGATAAGACTGTTGCTTGATGACCTGTGCAGCTAAATCGACAGCAGTGAGTGAAGACATGACTGGGAGGCCGTGTGCACGTGCCTGGATCTCCAGTTCCTAACATTTCAAATGAAAATGATTAGACAACAACTTTAAAAGACAAAGCAGCTTCTTCAGAACTACCGCAGTAAGTACAGGAATCATGCATGCAAATTAATTACACCTTTTCTCCAATTGTTAGACTACATTTTAAAATATTAAATTGTTAGTCTATGAGAAATTGCCACTCAAGTGTTTTCATCTGTCTTTAAGCAACTATCCTATAGGAACATAAGAGGTAGGACAGCCTTTCTACACCCACTGGATACTGAATCCAATGAAGGTGGTAGAAAAACGTTGCAACTTGAAAGTTTGTTATCCACTGCTATCCAGAGAAACAGAAGAGTCTTTACGTGCTGATGCTTATGATATACAGATATATGAGTAAATCAACATATGTGAGATGATTGATTTTATGTCTATCTGTTTATCTGTCTACCTATCCATCCATCCATCCATCCATCCTATTTTCATATGTATGTGTCTATATTAGAATCTTGCCTTTCGAGCTATGAAGGGCTATATTCTATCTCTTCATGTCAAAAGCAGATATAACATGACACACTATAACCAAGCAAGTGTAATGTGTGAAATGGCTACAAAGGGAAAATGAAAATACTGAAGGGAATTTTGTGTCCAGTATTGATTTTTGGCTGCAGGGATATTTTTTTTTTCCCTTACCTTTTTTGTCTTTCTCTGGCTCTAACACATACATAATGAAACTGCTTGTACCAATAGTTTATTAACTTTCCATGAATTTCTTTACGTAAGGTATAATTATCAAAGAAATTTCCTAGAAACCTGGAAAATAACCCCTCTCCAATATACACAAAAATAAATAGGAAAGCCACTTCATTTTTAATAAATGTCATTTGGGGGAAAATTACATAGATTAATAACATTTGATGAGGGATAAGTACTAAGAAAGCTTTGTAGTTCGTGGCAACACTCTCATACAAACCTGAATTCGGAGTAGGAGTCTTCTGTTAGCATGCTCTAATTTCTTTTGCCTGTGTTCTAATTCTCTGGCTCTCTGTTGTTCTTTTTGTAGCCACTTGATGTACTCCACTGATGCTTTTAAAATAGTCCCTTTGTTCCAGCGCATATCACTGCAGAATGTAGAGATAACCTTTTCACAATTGTGCATGTCAGCAGAATTCATAAGAACTTACAAAATCTTTTACATTAATATGAAATAATGATTTACATGACTATTATTCACTCTTAGATATTATTGCTTCTGAATGGAAATTTTAATAGAATAGTTAAGAAGCCCTTATATAGTAAAATTAATCCCAGAATGAAAATAAGTGTCAAAAGAAAGTAATAAAGTGACTTTTTGTGGGAGAGCTAAATGCAATATCATGATTCTACCATTACAGTTTTTATATTTTTAGTGAAAATTGCTTTTATTATTAACTCTAAGATTAAAATCTATGTGCAGTATTTCTGCATTAATGAACTAGGAAATATACATTACTGAGGACTTAAGCCTAAATTTTTAAAGATCATTTTGAATATACTACTCCTTTTACCTGACTTACTAATGAGGTTGCTTTTATGCTTGTAGAGAAAAAAAATTATCTGTGCTGAATGCCACTCCTCATTGATGACAGACCAGAAAAATCACACTTCTTTAACCATAATAACTAGGGAATGACAAAAATCATGTTCAAAAATCTTGAAACAATATAAAATCCAAGTCAAAAGACACAGCCACATGCAGACCCTAACTCAAAAAAAGCACCTTGCAAAAAAAATCAGATTAAACCTGCCCATCATTCAGGAAATAATGGTCTAAATTCCAGCTTATAAACAGCCTTACAGTAATAAAACACTTGTTTAAATGCATCTGTTCAAGGGTTTTCATGTATGCATTTATCAGCTGTTCATGTAATCCTTTAAGTAAGGTCTTGGAGGCCTTGGAATAGGAAAGAAATTTGTGCAAGACTGCTTACGCTGAGCAGAAGGTTGGCCAAGGTTCTGGCCCTATAACTCAACCCTGAGAAGGAAAAGATATTTCTGCAGCTAAGAATCTGACACTGGGAGGGACAAGCATTTTTTTAATACCTATAATACCATATATTTACTCATTGGCATTTATGGAGTCAAAAAGGAATATAAATTGTACTCCAGTCTATCATCACTTTCGCTTATTCGTAAAATGATAGAATCATAGAATATGCTGAGCTGGTAGGGATCCATCAGGACCATCGAGTCCAACTCCTGGCCCTGCACAGGACACCCCAAGAACTACACCATGTGCCTGAGAGTGTTGTCCAAATGCTTCTTGAACTCAGACAGGCTTGGTGCTGTGACCACATCCCTGGGTGCTCAACCACCCTCTGGGTGAAAAACATTTTCCTGATATCCAACCTAAACCTCTCCTGACTCATCTTGATGTTATTTCTTCGAGTCCTGTCACTGATCAACAGAGTGAAGAGATTGGTACCTGCCCCTCCACTTCCCCTCATGAGGAAGTTGTAGACTGCAATGAGGTTTCCCCTCAGTCTCCTCTTCTCCAGGCTGAAAAAACCACATTACTTCAGCTGCCCTTCATAACACTTCCCCTCCAGTCCCTTCAGAATTCTCAAGGCCCTTCTTCGTTCTCTAATAGCTTATTTTGGTGGGTTTTTTTCTATTATCCTTGGTTGTTTCAGTTAATGAGATTTGCCCCTACTCTTGTGTTCACCTATGATGAAAAAAATTATTGCAGCCGTTTTGCATTCAGCTTCTCAGAGTAAATGCCTAAGGAACCTTGCACCCTTACCCCAAAGCTAAGCACCCTTAGAGACTTCTGCCAATGCAGTTGTTTTTCTACTAAATATATACAGCAAAAACCAGGCAAGTACAGGATTTAGAGATCCAGGCCACCCTGCCTTTCCTGATGCACTTTACTAGGGATAAAACCTTAAGAAGCTGATAGCTTTAAGGCACTCACAAGAATACACAAAATTATTTGTGATAAAGCATCACAGTGTTTAACCATATCATAGAATTCTGACAATTTGCTAGAGATTTAGGAGAAACCATTTTTTGATCCAGATGTGCTCAAACTCATATCTGTTCTCTCTGGGAAGCACATAAAGTGTGAGGCTCCAGCATATAGGACCTCCTCTCACCTCAGTGATGTGTGCCAGGAACGCACAGCTTTTGGAATTAGAAGGTGAGGAGGTCAGAGAGAAAATAATTATTGTCTCAGACCCTGCTGTCTGCAAAACCAAAACATCAGAAGCTGATGTTCACTGAAGTGGGTGTGTATTCTTATTTAGACATTCCATGGTCAAAAAAGCTAGAACAGAGATGGGACTGGGAGCCAAGAACAGAACATGTCTCCCTCATGACAGCTGAGTCATATCTTGGCAGTTCCTCTGCCCCCTCCTTCCTCTCCCTAAATTTCTTGCCCAGGTGGGAGGACAGAACATTTCCCTGTCAGCATCCCATGGGCTCCCTCCTAGGAGAGGACTTTCTTCTTGCATGTGGTTTACCTACTACATGTTAAGGAAGTTTTTAGTATGCATAATAATGCATAATTTCTGGGAAAATCTTTGACTACCATCACCAACTCATGGCAACTTTGAAAAGCACTAGAGGAATAAGAATGCCTGTAGTATATACTCTGGAGAAATGCAATCTGCCTAAGCAAGGGAGTTTGGCTTCTAGAAAGTAATAAAGACAAAACGAAGTCAGTTTTGGACTTATGGTCTGAACCTAAAGGTATAGCACTATGAAATCAGAAACAAATCCACAGCTGGAAAAATGGAAATAAATATAACAGCATGAGAAAAATATGAACACAGTGTTTTCACAAAGAATTTCATGTCAGTTATAAAATTTTATGAATTCAAAATCAAATTCAGACAAAAATATTTTTGGTTGATTTTTCTGTTTAACATATTAATAAGCCATGTATTCATGACTGCATTTGGAATATTTTTTGTGATTAAATTCATTCATGTTACACATAATTTGCAACCTTTGTGATATTGCTTACTTTTAGTTCATATTACCTTCATAGTTCGAGGTTTTTATTTCTATGGCAAAGATATTATTTGTCATAGGTTGAAATAAATGTTCACTGGAAGACCAGTTCCCAGATTCAGACTGCCAGAGAGATGGATCTGGTCAGTTGGATAGATATCTCTTGTGGTAATATTTACAGATCTGAGAGGCAAAACTATCATAGGATGAAAATGCAGTAATTATTATTATTGTTTAAGAGACTATTATTTAACATGTGTATGTGTGTCTGTGTGTATGCATGTATTCCACATATCTTCTACATCTCATATATAAGTATACTGGTTGGTGTCTTATTAAATAAGGAGTATTGAAGTTAAATCTTCCAACATCTGAATATTGAACTTAAATATTCCAATATCCACAGCAATGGATCAGCTGGTGACCTTAGAAGCCAACATGAAGTTCACTTTGTGTCTCTCTATACCAGGATCTAAAGAAAATATTGAAGGTGTCTGTGCTAATTCTGCATTGCAGGTACTCCTCATCCATTCTAGCCCAGAGCACCACACAGCAGTCACAGGACAGTGCTGTGGAGAAACAGAGGCTCTATGCACATGTGCAGGGCTGGAAGAGTAGCAATATAACTAGTGGGGATGAAGGTAAATGGGTCAATAGTACAGGTGAAGTTCCTGTTTAGCAATAGCCTACAATGCATCTAGCAAGGCAGGCGATGAGATTCATCTATGATGGGAAATAAGAACAACCCAACATTTGAAAATGGATTATCTCAAAGCACAAGCTTTGAGCATAAGAAGAAGAGCATAAGAAGAATTCAGAAATTCTCCAATCAGTTATTAGGTTTCTGTTATTTCTCTGAAAACAATGGATTCTAAATGGGGTGCAAATGAAGAAAGCTATCTAAAAAATTATATAAGGGGCACTAGGAGATTATAGGTTTTGCTTTTTAGAGATTTCTATATTGTGCTTACATACAATAGAGATTAAAATTGAAATGAAAGGCCTACAAACTCACTTGAGAACCTTTAAAATCTAAACAATAATTGGCAGTTGTAACTCATTTAATTGGAAACTGCTCTATAAAAACAGACAAAATATGTGCATTCTTAACTGGTTTGAATGTATAAAGTTAGATTTAGATCTACTGAGTTTTGGAGACAGCAGGAATTCTTTCTTCTAATTCTAATCTTTCACTGTCTATTAATTCCTTTCCTATCTGGTTTTCTTTTTTTTTTTTTTTTTTGGTGGGGGGGGAGGGTGGGGGTTGTCATGTGTTTTTTGGGGAGTTGTGTGTTTTGCTTTATTGGTTGTTGTTTTGGTTTGCTTTTGTTTATCTTAGCTGTAATTTTTACTGAATGCATGTAATGCTTCATTCTGTAGATACTGAAACACATATTAAATTCTACATGTAAATAAAGTCATTTGAAAGCAGTAAGGAGTTTTGCAGGTTTGGTCATCAGCAATGGCCTCTGCAAAGGAGTATTTAATTTTTGTCTCTCTGTGTGTATGTGGTACAATAATTTGAAATTTTTAGCAAGCTACATGTGTTCTTGCGTTTAATTAACAGAGGTCTACCACACTTCAGAAGATTTGCATGGAAAAGTAAAAAATAAGTAAAAACCCACGTTTTATTGTCTCTGAACCCTGGCTCCTCCTAATTTTAAGATCTGAATCTCTCTAGAAAACTCAACTGCCCAGAACAAAATATTTAACTCTCACCTAGGAGAGTTTCCCATTTTGGAGAAACAAAACATACACCAGAGACTGATCTTCAGCTCATTTCCATTAATTTAACTTTGTTAAGTCAAAGGTGCTTCACTAATTTAAATAAGTTGAACTCCTGTAGGAAGGACAAGAGCATCTGGTCATCTAAGATTAGAACTAATTAACAAAACCAACATTTGTGAGAGTGTGATAGTCACAGGGTTTGCCAAACACAGGACAGTTACTAACAACAAATACATTCGCAAAGTTGAAACTATGTTTGCAGACCATTACTTTCTGTTTCTTGAGAAATTAACTGTAAACTGTGCTTGCTCAAAGAAATATTTTGAAGGACTTTGTACATGTTTTGATGACTTGCACAATTGCGAAGTGTATTCTGAAAGAGGTAGTAAGTTTCCACTTTGAAATAGCAGGAGCGTACACAAGCTTTTCCTGTACAAGAAGTGTGGCTGTGCTGGCTGCTGGAGCACACAGAGAGCAGAGAGGTCAGGCAGATGCAGAAAGCAGAGAGGAGAGAGTGAGAGCAAACCACTGCTTCTGCCCAAATCCTCAGTGGTTCTCCTAACACCCTAGTTCAGTAAAACAACTACAATTCTTGAAGGAAGGGAGCTGCTTCTTCTTTAGCTTTCTGACAATTCAAGTCCTTCTATCATAAAACTGTTCTTGTGTAGGCATTTCCAGACTCCATCACATTGTGAAGTCCTGTCCACCTAAAGGTGGATTCTGAAAGGCTGAACACAAATGGAAAGGTGAGTATAATTAAAGGAACATTTTATGAGCTTTCCAATAAAATATGACTATTTCTGGCATTTTTAAAATTCTATTTTTCAATTATTCTATATAACTGATTTGCATTTCTGAATCATCTAGTACTTGGATATCTAAGCATTGAAGATTAAACAAAAGAGTCAAAGTTCTTTGTAACTCATGCTTTTGTACATTTTCTAATGCTGATGAAATGAACTTAAAATGCCCATTCATTTAAGCAGTGTAATCCACACTTCTTATTGTTAAATTAAAAAAAAAAAAAATAAAAAGGTGAAAAGAATACGGGTTTTAGCCAGTCAAAAGAAAGTCCCTGCAGAAGCTCTACAGGAGCCAAACAAGTTCACTATATAAGTAACAAAACACAAGTGAAATAAAAACCCCACACAGCACTTCTAAGAAATATAAATCATAAAAGATTTCCAAATGGCAGAAAAAATGTCCTTTTCTGTTCCTGAATCTGAATGTAATCTTCTTGAAGCAAGCCATCTGGGGCAGGCATGCTAACCACAATGGCTTAGTTATAGCAGTATTTGCTCTTCAGTGTAAAGGCTGATTTTCCTCACTGTCATTAGTCTAAACATCAGTTAGGCTTCTCCTTTTACAGCTAAGTTTCCACTATAAGAAGAATTTTCTAAAACCAATATAAGAGGTGAAAATGATATATGTGATAAAATGTTACAGATGAAGTATTATAAAATATGATAAATCTCTTTCTTTCAAAGAAGAGGGGGAGACTGGAGGCACAGTAAGGTGTTATGAAAGAAAAGCAAGAACTGAAAGAGGAGGTAAGGACACTGAGTTATGATTTGGCAACACAGGACCATACCGAAAGGAAATAATAATAATTTTGATCTGCTTAGCCAACAAAACAACATGGTCAAATTAATATATTTCCACCTAAAAATACAAATACAAAAAAGAAAAAAGTGTTTACACTTCTTTGGATTAATTTATCCTGGCACTAAGCTATAGCAAAGTTATGTTGCAAGCTAGTGTTTCAAAAGCCCTGCACCTTTCGATGCCTTTTTTTTCTTAACACCAACTTGAAAGCTTTTAAACAGGCTTACTTTCAACAAGAGTACTGATTACCAGCCTTTTGAAGCCAGCAGTCTTCAGAATGTGAGATACTTAAGTTTACCTTGTGCTTTTGTAAACATAAACCACTCTGGGTCTGTCACATGTTGAACTCGGTCATGGGTTTGCAGATTAAAACAAGATAAGGCAATGACTTCAGGATCTATACCTGAAACTTTTAATCAGGCAACACCACCAAAATCTGTGGGTCAAGTCCACCATCCACTTACTGGAGCAAAACTGCAGGTCCAGATAATTCATTTTAAGAACAGCTTAAGTGATTGCTATTGGCATTAATGTTTTGATTTAGTTCACAAACTAAATCTGAATCCAGAACAAAACATGTAACTGAAACACCTCTGCAGGTAACTGGATTTTGTACCTTGTGCTCATCTCTAATTGCAGTGTAACTGCCTTCTATTATTGCTTTATAGCTGCAAACCAACAGTGCCATCCACTGTTTTTCTGAGAAATCTTTCAATTATTTGCCCAAATGGTATTGATACTGAAAGATGCATCAGCAAAATTAAAATGCTTCTACCAGTCTCTTCTTGCAACAAAGCCCAAAGTTTTTTTAGGTACTTAAAGCCCTTTTTATTTTAACTCAGCTGCAACACCTAATTCTATATTAATAACAAAAACATACCCATTTATCTAATCTTGGGTGGATACTATAGAAGGAGACAAGCTGGTGAATTCTCTAAAATATATGCAGTACGTTAACTTTCTCTCTGATGATTTCACTCCAAGTGAAGCTAATCTTGCACTTAAGTAAGTCTCAGACAGCTTTATATTGTTGTAGAAATCTTTAACATAATCAAAAGTTTTTTACTGCTAAGGGAAAAAAAGGGTGAAATATCAATAGATATTTTCATTTGAAGTATCATGCAGGTCTGTATTGACATGTAAATGATAAAGACAAAATCTGTATAATCAACGTTATGCAAGTCACAATCACGCTAGTGACATAAGAAATCTAAGGCTAAAATTCAACTTTAAATATCACACTGAATTGTTATTGCTAATCCAGCAGTGGGCCTTCCTACAAGACAACCTTTTTTATATTGATGACAAATATAAGGTTTAAGAGAATGCAGGTATAGTTCAAGCAATATGCATTTTTTGTTACTGTAAGTATATGCATTAGTATAAAATGATATTATTATAACAATTGTATCAATTATTACTTTAATCCTTGCATTTTAGGACTGGTGTTTTCCCTGCAATGAGTGCAGGACTTCTGAAAAATGCTCAGTCTATAGTCTCTTCTATTGATTTTTTTTTTCCTTAGTCAAAGGGCAGACAGTCACAACGCGAATTTTGTGTTATCCCACTAGAGGGCCATGGCAAGGGCTGAAAGCATCACTCTGTCCTTCTCCAGAGACACCACACAATTGCGCCCAGGGACAAAGAGATGGACTTTCTGCTGTTTGGCTTATCTTTATTTATTTATTTCTTTATTTTTGGTTTTGTTTGGGTTTCATTTGTTTGTTTGTTTTCTCTTGATGTGGCAGTCACTCCTAAACACCCTGGAATTTTTTCATTTTATCCTTTCACATAAGTTTTTTCAACAGGCACCAAAAATCTGTCAGAGGCTTGTTACTTTAACAGCCTGATCTGAGCCAGTGACCTGGCATGGAAGATTTTGTATCCCATTACTCAATCCTATAGCCAGTATATACAGCTGTCTCTTTTTTTCTTGAATTTAAACTATAAATGTTATTATAGGAAAGACTGTTGAACTCACGGATCATTGGACTTGGGGATGAGTGTGCCAAGCTCCTTGATTCGGTAGTTAATATTATACCTTCTTCTTCTCTCAACTGTTAAAAAGAAACAGTCACTATATTTGTAGTAAAATATTCTTGGCGAAATTCAATATAAAACATTTTAATTAGTTATACACAAGTCAGTCAAGGCACAGAAAATTTCTTCCTTAAATAGCAGTCCCAACATGAACTCCTACCTGTTTCTGACTTATTCTCAGAATAAACTTCATGATTAGTACAATCTGTATCTTAGCTTGCCTATCATTTTTTTCCTCCATTTACTGCTAGACTTCTAGAGAATTAAATAGTCACATATTGTCTAAATGTGAGCTAACACTTCTTTTTCTTGATGTTTCTGTAGCCTTTCTCCACCATGCTCGCATAGAACAGAGATTTCAGTTTGGCAGAGTTTTGCTGGTGACTTCCACAGAGTCACAAGACAACTCATCTAGCAGTTCATAGTTTGGTAGTACTCACGTTACAGCTCACAGGTAACAGCTCCACTATCCCTTATTTACAGTTATCAGCATTTCAAACCCCAAAGAGGACATAACTGAAACTATATCCCCCCACTGAAACAGAGAAAGACTGTGTCCCAGAAACACTTCATCCCCAGCACATTAGTTTCCTTTGGTTATGGAAAGAACAAGCATGTTTTGAATAACTTCTAAAACACAGAGAAAATTAATAAAACCAAAGTTTAAATAATTAAAATATATTGTATGGATTTTCTTTGTAGTTTAGTTAGAAAGGGAAAAACAGAAGATAAGCCTCTTAAAATTATTTCCGCCTCTCTGTGCTTTCAGTTCGCTTCATCAGCATTGTACTGGTATCCAGGCTGGAGTATGTGACCCTTGAGAAATTTAACATTTTTAATGTATAGATCCAAAGGACATTCATCACTTTGGAGGATTACTTGTACATAATTGTGATGGAAAGTATATTTAGTGAGAATATGGTCCCGTTGGGGTACTGCTGGCTGTCGAAGACCAGCAGTCTCTACTGATGTGAACTCACACTTTTGTCCACTCCCTCCTCTTTGTACTCTAACTCAATGCAAATCTCACTGAATGAGCAGGATTCAGCTTTGGTCCATCACTATCATCACACTGATCTGCTTCTCTCATCCTTTCCATCTTGGAAGACCTTACCTTGGGCTCAATATGCTAATGCCACTGTAGTCTGTCAGACCAGCCCTGTCCAGCCTGGAACAGGGGCAGAACAGATACGTGCTCCACAAATGGAGATGTTCACTTAATATCTAATGTCCTAATTTTGAATATAAGTACAAAACACCCAGTAGTGCTACATTATCAGTGTTCAACCAAGGGTAGCCTGGAGGATCTTTCAAGGCTGACTTCAGTCTTCTCAGTCATATGAGCATGTTGCTTTCAGTCTCAGCCCCACCACTTTTATTCCTTTACCTCTTCTGGTACATAAAAGTGTTTTCTTCCTGTCTCTGTGAGGGTCTTAGATTTGTGCAGCAGTCAGTTATTTCCTCCCTAGCTGATCTCCTCCCTAGCTCCAGAAACTCTCTGAGTTTTATTATTTATTCTGATGAAGTATTCTACCTTGGTGGGATGTATTATCTTGTCTTGATCTCTCCAGAAATAGGAATTTCACTCAACAAATAAAAGCATCTCAGGTTTTGCAGTCATGATTCACACACAGAAGACAGATTTATAATCCTCCTGCATGTACTGCTAAGTGAACTCTTATATCCCATTGGCATGAATGTGCCAGATCTTGTAGGAGAACACAGTGTACAAAAGCACATAGCAACTAAAGAAATTAAAATATATGTTTTAGTTATGTTGGCAAAACAATGTCAAGGCAAACATAGTTAAAGAATGTGCTTTAGCTATACAGTCCTATGGTATAATAGCTGTTGTTTCATTAATATTTACAGTGTGGAAAAGCTCTGCAAGATACTCATCAAATAGTGGTCAACTAAAGATTGGCTATCAAACAAGGTAAAGAAAAAATTACCTTTACAAGTGGGCACCTGCAGAATTCTTTTTATTTCTATTCTTTTTTATATTTTCCTGAAAAGAAGCTTCCAGTGATTGTGCTAATGAGTTAGGGGGAAATTTTGAAGCTTGGAAACATGTTTCAATAGCGTTTTCCTGATATATGTCTGTTAGAGTGCCAGTGATATCCTGAGTTATCAATAACATTTCAAGAATCAAAATTATACATAAGCCAAAACAGAAAATGACTTTCCAAACTACATGGACAGGATGATGATAAAACATTCTTTACTTGGAAGAAAAAAAAAACAGAACAATGTTTTCTAATGGTTTAAACTCTTGTTGTTGTGTGAATCTGGCTCAATTTCTTAAACCTAAATCCCTTTTCATAGTTTCATTGAGAATAAAACCTTTCAACAGGAAATTTTTTGTAGTTCCTTATTTCCTCCTTGGTATGAGAATGTACAAGAACACTTTTGCAAAATGTGGACCTAAATTCAACCTGAATATTGAATGTTTGTATAGTTCCGATCAAGTTCCACAAACAGATTTTTTAGACCCTGTCTAAGAAACCTTTACAAAAGATTAAATTACACTAATAAAGCCTTTATATGCAACACATTATTATGTCCAAGCCATTAGATAGTAGAGCTATCTCCAGAGAGACTTTGAGCTCTGAATTGTACACCTGGGGCCAAAGCAAAGCAGATGCTCCCTGTCTGCAATGCTATGATTGTGGCATACTGCCTTAAGCTTAGCTGCCAGCAGTGAGGGAAAGTTCTCAGACATTTCTCCTGTGATTAGGAAGGATGACCTCAGAGCCTAAATAAACAATGAAGGCAGCAGTAGGACCAGGCATCCCTAGTGTATGTATGAGCCTGTCTTTCCCCTTGTAGTTCCAGACAACTCCTATCCACCACCTATCCTAGACTAGCAAAAACTCCCTGTTCCTGCCCAAACAACATAGACAGTAGCTGCATTAGCATTTCAGAGATTATGTGCTAGCAACAGTTCTAATGATCTACATGGTCTGCCTGCAGTCCACAAAAAAATTACAGACAGACATAAGGATGCCATCTGGAAATTTTAAGCAGCAAAAAGTGGTCCACAGTGGTTGCTATCACATTATGCCAGTGAATGTGCACTTTTAGGTATTTAATTTCATGCAAATAAAGCCATAAATGCCTCTAAGATTACTGGAATGGCCAGAGAACCAAGATATAAATAAGAGAATAAAGATATAAATAGTGGCTATTAACTAATTATCAATTTGGGTTTAAATTCATAGAATCATAAGAATATCTCAAGTGGAAAATTATTCAAAAGGATCATCAAATCCAACTCCTATAATATTTCCGCTGGAAAAAGTGGGAACGAGAACTGGGAAATGTAACTACTTTATTCAATACTTTCAAAAAGAATCCTTCAGGCTTTTTTTTCAAATTATCCTTTACAGAGAAAAGTTGCCTAACTTTATAGGCAAACTTTTCTCATCAATGAAACTGATTTTTTTTTCTATTCTATATAAATTAGGTTTTATTTTTATAAATATTTAGACACTGAACTGTGAATTTCACTATGTTCTAAGAAGATTATTCCTCTAAATCAAAATGCCTAACATCTATACCTGGCTGCACCATGACAACCTGGCTGCACTGCTCTCCGTAAAGGAAACAGAAGTGTATCCCAGATTACAGAGATTACAGGGTTTGTGTATCAGAGTAAGTCAGAACAGTGTGAGTCTCACCCAGTCCTGCCCTGATCTCCTTTGGTGACGTACAAATTCCATAACTTATAGTGCTTAACAACAATTTAGAAGTTTTCTGATATACTGCAAATTTTTTTTCCCTCTACAAGAGGCTGTATTGAGAGATACAGCCTCTTTCTTGAATACTTCATTAAATAAGGTGTGAAGACTGGATGTTCACTGTTGTTTTTCTCATCATCTCCCTCCTTTCTTATCTGTTTTGCACTGTAATTCTTAGAGACAACATCAAGTAAATTGTACAATCATAGGATAAAAACATAATAGAAGGAGATTATATGGAAATAAATTAATTACAATATTCAAAGAAAGAAATTCATTTCAGGAAATAAAACTCTGTGGTTGGCTGTGTTTGGAGTCTGAGCTCAATTTGATTAGCCTGGTAATAAGCTGATCTAGAAGATGAGCAGAGATGGGGTAGCTAACGTATAATATTTTTGCATTCTCCATAAATTCCAATTAATGAGATGGAAGATTAACATATACTTACTGAGATTGTGGTTATCCTTTTTTTGTCTCTCCTTTGCCATTGCTCTTGTATCTGCTTCTGACAGAAAGTAACATTTATTAAAATAGTCCTTAAGAAGAAATTTCACCTTTCCAAAATGGCCTCTTGTCACGAAGACCAGATTTCCAGTCCTTTTACTACATTACTATTCTTATTATTAAAGTAGATCATAGGCAAATCTATATTTTACCAGTACTAAATTTTGCACAAGTCTAGTAGGTTGTTTACAATCTTTTTATTGCACAGTATTTTTTATTTAGGAACATAGAAATGTCATAGAGGGGTATTTTTCTGCAATTTTCTGTATTTTACATCAAGATAGAACTTACAATACACTAATGTGAATATGGATTTTCTATATCCCATAATGCAAGATTTAATCAGATTTGTAAGATATTGAACAAACTCACTGTTTTCTCTGAGTGACACTAATAAACTGTACATGATTTTTAGCATTCTTTGGATTAATTGAATGTAACTTTTAAAGTTCTTAATCCACTAATATGGGTTTACCTTGAATAGATTTATTGTAAAGTTTTAAAAGAACCATTTGTTCTACTCTGGAACAAATTAAATGGATGATAATTTATTTATGTTGTGGGTCAGGAGAAGAATATAGTATGTTTTCTAAAATATTGAGGTTTATTAGAAGCATAATGTTTATAAAAACAGGGGAAAAACATGTTTTCTGAGTTGCTAAACAGGAGAACAGAAAGAAAACATTTCTCCTTGCTCTTTGTTCTTTCCCTTAAACAAAACTACAAAGTGCAAAATTCTCAGGAATTTAATTATGGATATCTTTTAATGGGTAAGATTTATGCAATTTTTAAGAGACACATCATCACTTTTGCAATTATAAAATACTAAAATCTCAGAGTTCTTTTACCTGTGAGTTCCCTTTTTACTGGTAGATTAGCTGGGCAAGAAGCATTTGTGAGACTCACATTAGCTGGTGCCATTCCCTGGTCACTGTTATATATATCCAAAATGCTGCTAGATAGCTTGAGGGGTACAGAAGGAAAGAAGAATACGAAAAAAAAATTAAAATAAATTAAAGATTTTAATAAAGATTTTAAAATAAATTGAAGATTAAAAAAACCCCAACATAAATTCAAGGAGCAAAAATCTTTGGCTATGAGTCTGGTATTCTTTAGAAGGAGCTGTGTATATATGTCTAAAGGGAAAGTTTACCATTCTGTGGTATTAAGTAAAATTGAAAGCCAATGGTCACAGCCTGCCACTGTTACACAAGCAGCTTTCTAGCTGCTGTGAGTGGGTTTCAGATGCAGAATGATGGCAAGATATGGGTCCCCATCTCTGTTTTTCAATTGCTTCTATATTATATTCTCTAAAACCAGGATTACCATAACTGCACTGCAAACATGAATTAGGTTGAAAATCAATATAACCTTGGTGATTTTGACATGCTTCTCAGTGATTTTTAACCACATCACTAAACTCTGAATTAGTACTTCATACTGTGCCTTGTTTAGCAGTATAAAGATTCAGGGACCCAGTTATATGCAACAGTTAAAATTAGAGTAAACACAACATCGAAGAATAAATAATGGCCAGTCTTCGCGAGCGAAGATCCGGGGAAGGTCTTTCCACCTTCCAGCCTGCGCATTGGATTTTTTAGGTGAGACACAGTGTGCGCGGAACTGAGCCCACCCTTTAATCCTAAGGTTCATCTGCCGGGGCCAAGCGAGCTTGGACGGTGGCAGCGAGGTCCTTAGGACGTAGGTGGGTTGCCTTTAAGGGCTAACGAGCCCCACCTGCCCGGGAGTGGCCCTGACCGGGAATCGAACCCGGGTCTCCGCGGTGACAGCGCCGCGCCTTTACCACTAGACCACCAGGGGCTACATTAAGGAAAGAAACTGTGCTGTTGTCAGGATAGACCGGATAACCTAACGGTTTCAACATGCATAACATACATGACTATATATAGCAGTATCCTTAATAGCTTCAAAATTTTAATATAACATTATTTAATAAACCCACAGAATGCACTCAAAGAGAAATAAGGCTGAAATATGTTCCTACGGATTTCAGATAATTACACAAATATTACCTTGACTTGAATAATATGCAGAAGTTTAGTAAAGAATAGTTCAGGCCTTGCTCATTTTCAATGACCTCATAATCAAGCTTTCAGCACTGATCAATATATTATACATTTCTGTATGTTCTTGTGAAAACAAGCGTATGAAAATGTCCAAGTCCAGATTCACAAAAAACTGATTTGCATTCTTATTGACTTCTATAACAGTAAGAGCAAAATTATTTTATTTTATTTTATCTTGCATCTAAAATTTGTGATGACATATTTGTTTTCTTTTGTGGTCAACACACGTGAACTCAGAAACTGAGTTTGGGTCCACCTGGCCAAGATAACAGGGGGAAAAAAAGGAATTAAAAAGTGGGTGAAAAAAGTGAGTGAAAAAATGTGGTAAAAACTACTGACTTGAGACAGAAAAGCATGAAAGGAAATTATGAGTTAGTAAAGGAAATAGTTTCTCATAGACAAGCAAACATGTTTTTACAGATATGCCCTACACCCATGGATCCTGAAACACATTGGAATTTTCCAGGCAGGACACCAAGACACCAACCATAGTTCTACTGGTAAACAGCTTATTTTAGACTGGTAATTTCTTTTCTTGTAGAGACTGAGTTTTACCACAAGTTATTTTGCATAGAGACAATTTCCCAATCACTTACTCAGTGTGAAATTGTTCTACAGCAGTGCTTCATATATTTTTATATTAAATCTGAAATTTTAAATGTTCTATTTTTAAATAACAATTCTATTAAATTAACTAATAACTTTACTAGACCATCTGAGATCCTAGTTTAAGTACTCCCTGTTCTATTTCATGCAATTAAATGAAGCAATCAGAATTCTTTTTGAATGCACATAAATAGCATGCTCATTTTTAAGTAGATATTTATTACTTAAGAAAACTGATAATTCTTGAATACTGTTAAAAATCACAACACCAAGTCACTTTTGAAACTCTGCTTACATATTTGATCTCTCAATGAAAATATTTTTTAAAAGAATGTTTGGAATTCAGACAAGTATTACTCAAGAACAAGCAATGTTTAATAGGTAGGATTTGAATGCTAAGAGTATTCACACATTAAGCATCTTTGTTTCATTCCAGAGGGGTAAACTGACAAGTACTACAGAATTTACTGCAGCTTTACCTTTGCATTTCCTTTGTTCCAGGGATAGGATAACTATATTAAAAGAGTGAACTCCTATTAGCTCTAGACACATATTTAATTACTTCTTACAATCATGTAAATGAATTTGGCTTATGGAAATTATATGAAAATAGAACAACATAAAAAATTGAGAGTCAATGCGACTACTACACTCATTCCAGTGGATTTCAAAAAAGGCTGTTATATGATTTAAGCTACTGTTTCTGTGAAATAGGAAATACTAACCCCTGAAAATAATATAACCTAATAAATAATCTAGCAAATAAGAAATGCATATCTATCATATTTTGCTTATTTCACTTCTAATTTTCAAACAATAATTCATGTTTATCCTTGAAAGATAGTTAAATCTCAACAGTCTATTCAAAAAGGTGTGAATTTAAATGGCAGTGTCCAAATCCAAGATGAAAGGTCATGAAAGGCCAACTTAGCTGTTAATAAAAAAAACCAAACAACTACACACCTGAAAGTTCAGAATTATGTGAGGATTCAAAAGAACATGAGTAAATTCAACTTAAAACCACAGGCAGACATTTCAGATGATTTGATTACACAGCTGATGAAAGCAATTGCCTGTAACTGCTGCCATTGTCTAAAGTGATAACAGTTCATGTACCTTCTTCTACCAGTGAAACCACTGGGGCAGCAGCTGCAACCACGTATGTGCCCATGGTCTATATCTGACTACACTAATACTTTCATTAAGCAGTAAAAGGTATGAAATATCATAGAATCATAGAATGTCCTGATTTGGAATGGATACACATGGATCTTCGAAGTCCAGCTCCTGGTCCTGCTCAAGACAGTCCCAAGAATCACACCATGTGCCCGAGAGTATTGTCCAAATGCTTCTTGAGCTCTGTCAGGCTTGATGCTGTGATAACTTCCCTAGGGAATCTGTTCCAGTGCTCAACCACCCACTACCCTCTGGATGAGGAACCATTCCTAATATCTAACCTAAGCCTTCCCTGACACAACTTCAGGCCATTCCCTCCCTGCTCCTGTTACTGGTCACCAGAGACAAGAGGTCAGTGTCTGCCCCTTCACTTCCCCTCACAGGGAAGTTGTAACTGCAATGAGGTCTCCCCTCAGTCTCCTCCAGGTTGAACAAACCAAGTGACCTCAGCTGCTCCTCATATGGCTGCCCTTCAAGGTCCTTCACCATCTCTTGGGCCCTCCTTTGGATGCCATCTAATAGCTTAATATCTTCCCAAACCTGCACACAGTATTCAAGGTGAGGTCACACCAGTGCAGAGCAATCGGGACAATTACCTCTTTTGACCAGCTGGTGATGCTGTTCCTAATGCACCCCAGAACATGACTGGCCCTCCTGGCTGTTAGGACACTGCTGACTCATAAGCAATTTGCCATCAACTAGGACACCCCAGGTTCCTTTCTGCAGTTCTGTTCTCCAGCCTCTCATTCCCCACTCTGTACTTGCATCCCAGGGTTGCCCTGTCTCAGGTGTGGAATCCGACACTTGTCATTAAATTTCATACAGTTGGTGATTGTCCAGCCTTCTAATATGTCTAAATCTCTTTGCAGGGTCTCTCTGCCAAATGTCCCACATCATCTTTGTTTTCTGCAGTGTTTCAGCACTTTTCCCCTCATCATTTCAGAATTTTTGTCAGCCATTAGGAAAACAGAGTCATCATTCCATGTGGAGATAATGAAAATGAAGCCCAAACACAAGTCATTCAGCTACTGAGGACTAGAATTCTATCATCTCACTAATTAGAATGATTCACATAAGCATTACTCCAAAAGGGATAGGCAAGAAAGGAGAGACAATGGGGTAGCCCTGTATTTTATAGAGTTTTGATTGTCTAGAACTGAATGATGGTGATGATAGGCTTGAGTGTTTATGGGCAAGAATCAGGAGGAAGGCCAACAAGCCAGATATCCTAGTGGGACTGTTATAGACCACCCAACCAGGATGAAGAGGCAACTGAAATATTCTATAAATAGCTGAGAGAAGTCTTATGATTGCTAGCCCTTGTTCTCATGGGGAACTTCAACTTACAAATGTCAGCTGGAAATAAAACCACCAAGAGGAAACAGTCCAGGAGGTTCCTGGAGCGTGTGAAAGGTAACTTCCTGACATAGCTGGTGAGTGAGGCGACTAAGGAAGGTGCCCAATGCCTGTTTGTGAACAGAGAAGGACTGCTGAATGATGTGACAATTGGAGGCTGTCTTGGGCACAGTGATCATTAAACGGTAGATTTTTTGATTCTTGGTGAAGGGAGGAGAGAGGTCAGCAGAACTGGACTTGGACTTCCAGAGGGCAGACTTCAGCCTGTTTAGGAGGCTGGTTGAGAGAGTTCCTTTGGAGGTGATCCTGAGGGGAAAGGAGTCCAGGAAGACTGGATCAAGAAGGAAACGTTAAAGATGCAGGAGCAGAACATCTCCATGTGCCTAAAGATGAGCCAGTGAGGAAGACTGGTCAGGCTGAACAGAGAACTTTGGCTGAAACTCAGGGAAAAAGGACAGTGTATCCTTCGGAAGAAGGGGCAGGCAACTCAGGAGGACAGCAAGGATGTTGTGAGGTTATGCAGAGAGAAAATTAGAAGGGCCAAAACTCAACTAGAACTTAATCTGGCTACTGCTGTAAAATACAATTAAAAGTGTTTCTATAAATATAACAGCAACAAAGGAGGGGTAAGGAGAATCTTCATGGTTTATTGGATGTGGGAGGAAACACAGTGACAAAGGATGAGGAAAAGGCTGAGGTACTTAGTGCCTTTTTTGCCTCAGCTGGAAGACATGGAGC